CTGCGGGAAAAAAACGAGATTTCATTGTCAGTTATATTTTAATTGAACATGAAAGGTTTGTTTGTATGTATGCATGCATCGGTGTATTGCTTTGAGAGAGAGAGAGAAAGAAAGAGAGAGAGAGAGAGAGAGAGAGAGAGAGAGAGAGAGAGAGAGAGAGAGAGAAAGATAGCTAGATAGATAGAAATAGATACATATATATATATATATATATATATATATATATATATATATATATATATATATATATATATATATATTGTTATAATAACCTCTGTGAATATATGTTATAGTGGCTTTCTTTCTTAAGTTGTCCTTAAATGTTATTATTCACGATTTACAGTAGTCATTTAGAATATGCAAAAGTAGGTTACTTCAGAATTCTGTATCTTTCAATTTATTTTAAGGATGAATTTTTAGTCAGAACCATTGATGAAACTGGCTGATGGCAATGTTAGATTAAGCTTTGACAATAAGCTAATAACTAAGAAATAACACCTATAATATGCAGACACACATATATACATATGGGAGAGGGAGAGAGAGAGAGAGAGAGAGATAAAGAGAGAGTGAGAGAGAGAGAGAGAGAGAGAGAGAGAGAGAGAGAGAGAGAGAGAGAGAGAGAGAGAGAGAGAGAGAGAGAGAGAGAGAGAGGGAAAGAGAAAGAGAGTGAGAGAGAAAAAGATAAAGAGAGAGAAAGAGAAAGAGAGTGAGAGAGAAAAAGAGAGATACACACTGACAAACAGACTGAGAGAGAAAGAGAAAGATGGTGGGAAGAGGCGAGGGGAGAGAGAACCCCCCCTCCCCCCCCAAAAAAATGAAAAAAAAAAAAATAAATAAATAAAAAACAGACAGACGGAGAGCGTCCCACTTCGCAAATTACTACCTTCCAGCCCCGTGACGTCAGCAAAACGAGGCGAACACACTCTTTCCTTTCATCAAATTAAGCAGTTCTCGAGACCTGACTGAGCTTGTCCTTCTGATGCACAATTTTCTCCTCGTTTCATATCATAAAGGGTGTTAACCTCATTAAAATTTTCCCTTTTTTTTCCTCTCTTCCCTGCACCCCTTCCCCCTCCCCCTCCCCCCTCTTTCCCTTTCTCCATAGGATTATTTTAATGATATTAGATGTTTTTTTTAATTCCTTTTATATTCCAACAGATGCTATTTTGTTGGACTACACTGATAAAAGAATGGATATTGTTGCATATTCCCCTGTCGCTTTTCTCTCATTCCTTCTTTTAGTCTTTTTTATCATTCCTTTCTGTTCGTCTTTTCTTTCGTTCCTTCTGTTCGTCTTCTCTCTCATTCCTTCTTTTCATCCTTTTTCTCATTCCTTCTGTTCGTTTTCTCATAGAGAAAACGAGTCAAAAAAGATAAATAGACGGAAAGAAAGAAAAGACGAATAGAAAAAAAATAAAGAGAAAACGACCAGAAGGAATGGAGAAGAAGGCGACCAGAGGGAATGAAAGGAAAGAGGAACAAAAGGAATGAAAGGAAAGAGGAACAGAAGGAATGAGAAAAAAGACGAACGGAAGGAATAAAAAAGAAAAACAGAAGAAATTATAATAATAGTAATAATGATAATGATAATGGTAATAATAGTGAAAATAATGATTACAATAATGATTATTATAATGATAATGATAATAATAATAATAATGGTAACAATAAGAATAATAGTAATAATAACGATAATAATAATAATAATGATAATAATGATATTATTATTATTATTATTATCATTATTATTATCATTATTATTATTATCATTATATTATTACTATAATAATATTGAAATTGATAATAAAAACCGAATAATAATAATAATGATAATATAAATGATAACAATAAGAATGACAAAGATGATGATGATAATAATAACGATAGTAATAGTGATAATGATAATAATAATGATAATAACAATAACAATAACAATAAGAGAGAAAAACAATAACAAGAAAAGCAAGCAGAGGAAGAATAAGAACAGTAATGATAATGATAATAATAATTATAACAATAATTATTATTATCATAACAATAATAAGGATGATAATAATGATGATAATGATGGTTATTATAATAATAATGATAATAAAAAGGATGTTGAAGATGATGATGATAAGGATAATGACAATGATAACGAAGATGATAGTCACAGTTTTGACAACAGTGATGATAATACTGATTATAAAGATAATAATAAAAGATAAAAATAATTATAATATCAAAAATGTTAATTGAAATAAAAATGATAATGATAATTGTGGAGGTATTAATGGCAAAAAATATAATAACATAGTATATTGAAATTGATAATACAAAACCGAATAATAATAATAATGATAATATAAATGATAACAATAAGAATGACAAAGATGATGATGATAATAATAACGATAGTAATAGTGATAATGATAATAATAATGATAATAACAATAAAAATAACAATAATAATAAGAAGGAGAAGAACAATAACAAGAAAAGCAAGCAGAGGAAGAATAAGAACAGTAATGATAATGATAATAATAATTATAACAATAATTATTACTATCATAACAATAATAAGGATGATAATAATGATGATAATGATGGTTATTATAATAATAATGATAATAAAAAGGATGTTGAAGATGATGATGATAATGATAATGACAACAATAACGAAGATGATAGTTACAGTTTTGACAACAGTGATGATAATACTGATTATAACGATAATAATAAAAGATAATAATAATTATAATATCAAAAATGTTAATTGAAATAAAAATAATAGTGATAATTGTGGAGATATTAATGGCAAAAATTATAATAACATTAATGATAATAATGATAATGATAATAATGATAATAGTGATAAGAAAATAATATTAATAAGTAAAACTAATGGTAATAATGCTAACTACAACAACAACAACGATAACAACAATAGTGATAATAATGATAATAATAATGATAATGATGCTGCTGATGATGTCGATGATGATGATAATAATAATAATGATTGTATTAATAAAAACAGAAATAAGAATAATGAGTGTAAAAATGAATAATGGTGACAAAAAATATAATAATGATAATAGCAATAGCAACAATGATAGTAATAATAATATGGAGAACAATAACAAAAACAAAATAATGATAATAACAACTATTAAAATGATATTGATGATAATAATGATAATGATAAAAGTAATGACAACGAAAATGCTATTTATAAAAATAATAACAACAACAATATTAAGAAGCATAACAAAAATGGCAGCTAATATATTTTTTCTCTCTCTTTTTCTTCCTCTCTGGAAAAGCCTCCTTATGTCAGAGGTTTATAATGTTTGGTAAGGACAGTGAGACTCTCCATGGCTGTTACTTATTTCTTTGGAGGAGATACAGCACACAGATAATGACCACTTCACAAGTAAATGTACTCTGTGGGACGAGGCGCTAGGGGTAATTCAGGTCGCTCGTGGGCAAGGTCTATATAAGTATTTATAGTGACTTTGCTCGTGGATGGGTGGGAAGTGGGTGGATGGGGGGAGGAGGGGGGCTGTAGAGCTATAATTCTCTAGGCTTGACCGCGGGAGGTCAGGTCACTTATTTAATCTCTCTTCGATATGAACCAGTGCTTTGCGTGTTGGTATGTATGGCGTAGACTGAGTCACCAGTTTGAATGTATGATTAACTGTAGGTTTTATACTCACACAAACTTTCTACCTTTGTGAGTAGGTTGTTTAATCTATTTATTTCATTTACGTATACACGACAGGCGGATTTCACAAGTGTCCAAACAGAGCCAAGCTACCTACCCTCGGTTAATATTCTTCCGCGACACAAACCAAGCGGCTGAGTGATCTCATCCGCGGCCTGGTCATTGCCAGAAAGTAGTCCTCTCTTCGCTGTGATCAGGTCTCTGTCCCCATTCTAGCCCTTCATGACTAGGGCACTTGTCACGTAGTCACATCTCAAGCCAAGATGCCATTGGCGGATTGCGAATCTCTAGACTAGCGTGTTCTGACATTTTACGATTTCAAGAAACAAACTTTTGGAAATGATCACTTGTGTCCCTGTTCCTTTTAGAAGATTACAATCCTCCATTACACGAAGGCAGACCATTACACTTTCCCTCTCTCTCTTACACGATCCATATATTAGTATTATATATATATATATATATATATATATATATATATATATATATATATATATATATATATAAATGTGAATATAAACACACACACACACACACACACATATATATATAAATAAATATATGTATATATATTCGTATATATATGTATACGTATGTACATAAGTACAGACATATATTCATATATTCATACATTCACACATATATATATATATATACATATATATATATATATATATATATATATATATATATATATATATATATATATATATATATATTTATATGTGTGTGTGTGTGTTTGCGTGTGTGTCTACACACACACACACACACACACACACGTATATATATTCTATATACATATATATATTATATATACATTCATATTATATATATACATATATATTCATATATGTATTTATATATACATATATATGAATACATACATATATATGTATATATATATATATATATATATATATATATATATATATATATATATATATATATATATATATATATACACATTCGACTATCTGGTTTCGACTATCTCTTCGTCAGAAATACATACATTTCTGACGAAGACATAATCAAGGGTGGGTTATGAGACAGAGACAGAGGCAGAGAGAAAGAGAGAAAGAGAGAAAGAGAAAAAGAGAGAAAGAGAGCGTACTAGGGATAAGTGTCAAGCCAGGCATCATCTGTCAGTTGGCGAGGGACTTTGGGCCACGCGGGGTGCCTAGCCATTGTGGTCGTTGCTTGTCTCGGCACCCTAAGAGGCACTGCTCCCTTCTCCCCCCCCCCCCCACCAACCAGAGTGTCGCGTTGACTGAAAGGGAGTCTTGCGCCG